TTGGCTTTTCACATACATCACTTTGACCAATATTGTTGGTTTATACATAAAATTAAACATATTCGAGAGTGAGGGATATCTCAAGTGGTTAGAGCTTCCTTTCCGATTTCAGGAGATCTAAGATCGATTCTCACCCCGCCCTTGTGGCTCTCTAAACACCAAAAAATAAAAAAATAAAAAAAATAAACATATTCATGTGAGTACTTGTTAGTATCGTCTTATTGTATAATTTCCAAATATCAATTTTTTATAATTTATAGCTGTTGATAATTAAAGATAGTATTGGTCGAAGTTCCATGTTGGAAAATGTCTCGGTCAAATTAGGATACTCAAAAAAACAGTTTGTTATGATGACAAATTATTTTAATTAATTTAATTTCCTAGAAAAAGTTGTGCACTTGAAATTTGTACTCCCTCTATCCCTTATTTTTTTTGCTCCATGTGACTCATAAAGCTCTCACAAACAGTGGGACATGGAGCAAACAAAAAAGGATTGAAGGAGTACGGAACTATCAGCCTATCACAACCATGCTTCTAGTCTAAAAGAACAAGAAAATACTGGACATTAAGGACATGAAACTGAATCAAGAGTTTCGGGCTGGCCCAAATTGAAGATACTTGTATTGGCCCAAACTGAAAATCGTTGAATACACTAGTCCATATAATTAGTAACAAACCTGTAGAGTATTCGGTGGAGCAGTGGAGCCTAAGGATAGTGCTAAGGTTCTAATCAAATGTAGAGGCACAAGTTCTTGGCTACATCAATTAGACCAAGAATATGATACACCAATAATATGAGGATATTATTGTATTAGTTCTTAGATGAATTATCAGGAAGCTGGCTTGAAAATTTAACAAAATCGAAATTAAAATAGGCGATCAAATAAGGTGTATCACATCATCTAAACACGTACACGATGAACCTCGGAATTTCTAGTATGCATCCTTGTTCCAAATTTGCTACTTCATCCTTTTCTTAAAATATTCATCGAAATAACCACTCATAGATGGAAGATTATGCATATGTATGTTTTTTCTAAAGAATCATATTGCGATACAACATTAACTTTAACTACTCCTGTTATTTAACTTTTTTGAAATATTGTATCACCGAACTTGATAAAAATCAGCCTTGTGATAAATCTCTCCTAATTTCAAGTAATTTGTAGGCTTTTCCTTTCTAAAAAGTGGAAACAATGCTCTACTTTTCATTCCAAATTCAAGACTATAATCAATATGATTGATTGGTCTATGCGCCTCTCTTATCACTTTAAATTATTGTATTCTCCAATTCTTCAAAGGAGGCTAGGATGATTACCATAAGTAGGCTAGTAATCTTCGTGTATATATGACCCAAGAAAGTTAGTTTTAAATTGAATTTATAAGCAAATTTGATGAATGAACTAAAATGAAAATAGGTTATCAACAGATGTATATACAGAATACAGTAAAAACTCGGAACTTAATTAGTATACATTCTTGTAAAGTGACATTATTATAATCATATTTGGTACTCAATAACAGATAATTGATCTAGTTGATCATCAATAAGCAAGTTCAAGATAGTCATAAGGTCATAATAACTCATAAGAGACATAACTACCAAATTAACTTAAATTAGATTTTCAAGAAGTTGCTAATACTAATATAGCTACATAGTTAGATAAAAAGGACATAAATGTATGCTCAAACTATAAGGGAGGTCATTAATATTATCAGAAGATAGAGACAGAGAATTTAATTTTTATGGTTGATCTTCATATAAATGTTTTCTGTTTGCTAGTTTTTATAATTTCTTCATTTTATTGTTATTAAAATCATTTTCAAAAAAAAAAAAAATTAAATACAAAATGAACTTATGATAGTTAATATAGTAGTAAATATTTTTGGCTTTAAAAGCAATTGGGTTTATAGTGAGTAGTTGTAGTTTTCTAGTACTACTCAAGTTATAAATTAACACCTACTCTCCTAAGCAATAATGAATGACAATTCAATCCTAAGACTTCAATTTTTCATCACTTCCTTTTCCTTTTCCTTCTCCTCCTCCTCCTCTTCCTCCGACTTCTTCTGCTACGCTATTACTCGTATTAATATTACTACTCCCTCCATCTCTAAAACTTCTCCCTGTTTCAACAGTAATAGTCTCGCAGAACTATTAAGATTTTAATTAATTATTTAATGCTATTTCATACTTTATATTAAATTTTTTTCCTTATTTTGCATCACTCTTCCTTGGGATTTTTTCCTTACAATTAATACATTTCCTTGGTGCCTTCAAGTTCTCATCACTTCAACTCCATTTAATTAAGCTTTAAAGAGAACCCTTCCTCCCATCAAACCCATCTTTAATTTCTTTCTCTCTCTCTATTGAATTCACTTTCTATATAATGTCCTTTCTACTTGAAAACTCACATCCTCATCCTCAACCAAAAAAATCTCTTCTTATTAGTAACTTACTTGGCGATAATAATGGTTTTCTAGTGCCTAAAGTCGCCCCCGTTACCCTTGATCTCTTCGATTTCAAACAATCTCCACCTCGGAACAAATTTCATCCCCCGTGCCCCGTTGCACGGGGCACTTGTTTTCTTAACGACAAGGTACATCACTTTTCATCACTTATTTTTTTTTTATTTGTTTTGTTAGAGTTTTGTTTCTAATACTTCAATACCTGTATGATGTTTAGTTGAAATTATTTAATAAAAAAAATGTTAAATAATTTCAAATAAACATCATACATGTATTTAATATGATGATGATGATATATTTCATTTTAGTATTTAAATTATATTAATTATGATATGTAATAGAAATTAAAGGTGATCAATCATTTCATTTTGCTTACGTGATTAATTTTCTTACTCAAAGGTGTAACGGAGAAAAAAAAAAGTTCAAAAGTTGGTTTTGTGTACTTTTTAAGTGTGTTTTTAACTTTATATTTTTTTAAATTTTAATTTTAATTTTTTTTTTTTCTATTTTTTTTGTTTTATAGAGTAAGCAAAAGAGGGGTTTAGAGGATCATAAAAGTAAGGAGAAGACCATGAGCAGGAGAAATGGTAACAACGTGCCAAAGTTGGACTTAAAGTTAAATTTATCACCACCAAATTCAAGGATGATTGTAAACCCGAACCCGAACTTGAACCCGAGGATGGAATCACCAAGCCGATCAGCATCGGTGTCACCACCGAGCTCGTGTGTATCGTCGGATGTATCGATGAGCAGCCCGGAAGCTACTTCTATGGTATTGGTAGGGTGTCCAAGATGTCTAATGTATGTCATGCTATCGGAGGATGATCCCAAGTGCCCTAAATGCAAGAGCACCGTCTTGCTCGATTTCGTGCATGACAATGACAACAACAACAACAACAACGACAACAATAATAATAGTAAGAGCGGCAATAGTGGTAGCTCTAAGAAGACTAAGAAGGGCTAAACTCGAAAAAAATTAATGTAAACTCTGTTTTAGTAGCCCTGTTTTTAGGAATTGGAACTTTAATTAAGGTTGTTAACTAATTTTCTTTATTTTAACCTTTTTAAGTTTTAGTTGTAGGATTCTTCGTGTTTGTGTCTTATTTTAGCCATGCATCTTGTAAAAAAAAAAAAATGAAAAAAATAAAATAAAATGGGTTACTTGGATTTGTACTAAATTATTTGTTACGTCTATCAGCAACTTCTAATTAATATATTTGGGTTATGATTTGTGACATGATCTGACCCCACATTATTTTAGTTGTATTTTACTACGTATTTAATCTATTTATTTAGTTTTTTATATTTCGTTCTACCTTAATACAAGTATGTATAATTGAAATAAGGAAATAATTCATAAATTAAGCTTGGTAGATGAACTGCATGGGACTTGAATACTATGTAGGAAACTGGTGTTTTCAAGAGGTTGGTCATTCTCATTTAAGATGTACTAAAACTTAATTACACTAGCTCCTATAATTAGTCCTAAATTAACTTTGCATGGCACTAATATAATTAAGTTTATATTATATCTCTAATCAACCATAAATTATAATTAGACAATTTTACTATTTTTTATTTTAAATTGAGTTGATTTCTCTTTAGTAATCCGTACTTGATTACTTGTGTAATTAGATCAAGCTTTAGTCTTGACCTTTCATGCTAAATTCAATGTACAAATTTAGCTATTAATTCTGGATTCATCGTTCGTAGCCCGTAAGATATAAGAAGGTCCAATGTATGTATACCTAACTTGTTAAGAACTCAAGATTACAATATATTGGTTCCTTGAGAAGGGCGAATGTATGTAAACATAACTTGTCAAGAATTCATGACTTTAAGATTATAGTGCTAAAATATATTTTTTGGTCAAATTGGATGGTGATGTACACAAAATATGAGGATCAAACTCGATTTTGAATAATAACTGTAACAAGCATAATTTAATAGCAAGAAAAATAGTTATGAGTCTTCATACAGTGCTACTTATGAAGATTTAAATTATAAAACATACGAATTATTTCTGCAGAATTTTGGTTCATGCTCACAATCGAAAAAGGCGGCCAGGGGAAGGGGTAGAACAACTATAAAATATGGTCATTTAATACCCTACTTTAAGATCAAATTTATAAGTTCATGGATATCATGGTAGCTAGTTTAAACACATGTCACCGATTGGATAAGAAAAATGGTCAATAATTAGGGTTGACTTTTTAGATTGACTAATAATTTTTAAAATGGTTGAGCATAGAGTGATTGAAATTTTGAATGATAATATGAGGTCATTTTTAGGTTTATTGAGATCGTAATAAACTTCTTCTTTCTCATACCATATTATATACAAGTAGCCAGTGGCGGACCCAGGATTTTCCGACTGGTGAGTCACAATCGATAATCAAATATGTAAAAAAAAAATTTTACCAAACAACCAAATAATAGTACTAAAAAATACATCCAAATATTCAAACAGTACAAAATACAACCAAATGTTCATATAATACTACAAAAGACAACTAAATAGTAATGCAAACTTATTAAAATAGTTCTCGACGAGTTTTCATGTTTTGATATCGATTCATGATATCTTCCATGCTAACATTCAAAAACAAATCATTCTCCAAATAAGTAATTAAACAATCATTCAACATTTGATCTCCCATGCTATTTCGTAGTTTGTCTTTCACTTGCTTCATGCCAGAAAATACTCTTTCCACACTTGCCGTTGCGACAGGAAGAAGCAACACCAACTTCAAAAGTAAATAGACCCTATCATGAGTTTCAGACAATCCCGTTTCAACCAATTTGATTGAAAGATCACTAAGACCCTTCAAATTCCAAAACCTTTCATCTCCTCTAACAGAACAAATGTAACTATCAAGTGTATGACCAAAGGCTATCAATTCTGAACTTGGAAATTCATTAGGATAGAATTTTGCAAGCTTAATCAATTTTTCCTTATCAAACTTAGAAAAACGATCCACATGACTCAAACAAGACATACACACAAGTAGTTCTTTAGTTATTTCGGGAAATCGATTTTCAAGTTCTTGCAATTGAAGATCAATGACACCAAAAAAAACTTCAACTCGAAAATGATGTAGATTAGACACTTGTGGGCATTTACCTCTAAACAACCTCCTCCCGGGAACAACATATTTAGCCTCCATATCTGGAACTGCAATGTCATAGTCACCAATAAAAGAAATTACCTTTTCCATATGAGAATCCCATCCTTCATCTCTCATTTTTTGCAAATTAGTCTTGGTTACATTAACCATGGCCATTGCATTCACAATGTCTTGATCGTGCTTTTGTAAGGCCACATTCAAAGCATTTGTTATCGCAAATATACTAACCATTAAGTGTGCCACGAACACAAAATCAAAGGACATCAGAAGATTTGTAAGTGTTTGAGCTCTATTAGAATCTATTGTATCAGATACTTTTGCAATATCCTCAAGAGAACCAAGGATTACAGGGAATAAATCAAGTACATTCAAGATTGTCTTGAAGTGAGATCCCCAACGAGTATCACAAGGTCTACCTAATCCACGTTCTTGATTTAAACCTGAACCCGTTTCAAGTTCACCTAGAGACAATGCATCCACCACTCTTTGAGCTTGATTTTCACGAAGAAACTCTTTCCTTTTTGGTGAACCCCCCACAAAATTCAAGAGAGGTGCAAGTACATCAACAAATAACCAAGCACAATCTGAATTCTTTTTAGCAAGTGCAACTTGAGTTAATTGAAGTTGGTGAGCAAAGCAGTGGACAAAATAAGCTTCTTTACACTCATTCTCTATAAGAGTCCTAAGGCCATTAATAGAACCTTGCATATTACTTGCCCAATCATAACCCTGACCCCGTACTTGAGAGAAAGACAAAGAATGCTCCATTAATAAGGATTCAATAGTAGTTTTGAGAGTCAAAGAAGCAGTGTTTACAACATGCACAATACCAAGTAAACGCTCACACACTTCTCCCTTTCTATTAACATATCTCAAACAAAGAGCCAATTGTTCCTTGTCAGAAACATCAGCGGACTCATCAGCAAGGATAGAAAATAAACCACCATCAATATCTTCAAGCATTGCTTTAGTGGTCTCTTTTGCACATGCATTTATGATATCTTTTTGGACTTTAGGAGAAGTAAGTTGACAATTACTAGGAGCATTTTTGAAAACAACTTTAGAATATTCAGGATTACCTTTGGAAATAAGGGATAAAAGTGAAAGAAAGTTACCTCTTCTTAAGGAACTTTCTTTTTCATCATGACCACGGAAAGGCAACCCTTGGAGTAAAAGCCATTGGATAGATTCAATTGAAGCTTCAAGTCGCGTCCTATATGCATTTGTACTCTCAGCGGTTTGTTTTGTTAAGGCTTGTGTGATGCTTGAATTTTGTTTCTTGAACAAATCCATAGCTAAAACAGCATTATTATGTGCACTCAAGTGTTTACCGACATGTTTTCTTATTAAATCCGATCGATTCCATGATTTGAAACCATCACTAACAAAAGCATCACCTCCAAAGGCCACATTCATCCTTGAATAGATAACAAGGGAAACAATAGGCAGCATCCTTTTCCACACTATACTCAAGCCAAGTCCAAGTATCAAACCACTTAGCACAAAAGCGACTATTTTTGCCAAAAATAGAAGTTTGAGGAAATGTAAAGTCTTTGGGCTGACAAGGCTTTCTTTGAATGTAAATTCTTCTCACTAAATCTCTATCATCTTTATGAAATTGACTCATTTTTCTCCTCTTTCCTGGATCTTGTGGAAGATTAGCAAATTCATGTTCACTTAATCTTTCTCCAAAGATTGGGGCATTAGGAGAACATTGGCCTTGTTCATTTTGAGGGGAATTTTGAGTTGAATAATGAGATGGAGATGAAAGTTGCTCACTTTCTTGAGGTGGAGTTATAGTTTGTTCATTTTGTGTTGGATGTGGAAGAGAAGTTGGAGTAGGATTTTTTTTAGCAAAGAAGCTAGTAATGTTTTGCATTTCATTTGGAGTATGTTTTCTCTTCATTCTGAAATTTGAATAAATATTGAACTAAATCAAGCAATATTCCCCAGAAAAATTATTTGAATAAATATTCAACTAAATGGTCTAAATCAAGCAATTTCACATAATGACATAATCACATAAACATATTACACAAAACACAATTACACAAAACAGATTTCACATAAGTAATAACTAATAAGTTTAAGAGATTTCAATTACACAAAACACAATTACACAAAACAGATTTCACATAAGTAATAACTAATAAGTTCAAGAGATTTCAATTACACAAAACACAATTACACAAAACAGATTTCACAAAAAAAATCAATTGATGATTAGTTGATTACCTACCTTGCTAGGCAGTCGGCAGTCGGCAGCACTCAAGTCTCCAGTGGCGTAAGTTTTGGGAGTAAGTACCGGGCAACTTTCTTGGCTTTCTCAATGGCACAAACTTTGCTCCGATAGCCAAGGCAATAGGGGGACCAAAGATAAAACCTCTTGCTTCAATGCCTAGCAAAACAAAACTTCCAGTTGAGTAACACATAGACAAAAAAGTTAACTCTAAGGTTTGTGGATAGCTGTAATAACTGTTCTGAGAAAAGACCAATTTACAGTATATATGATAAAATATGATGTAAAAAGTGCAAACATGAATCAAGACTTTACTTAAAAACCTACATACTTAAGGTCACCATCCACAAACATATTACCAGTGATATTCTAGCTATCCTGAAGCTAAATTGGTTGGGGAATCTAGATAGTAAACATTAAACTCTCTTCCCCTTTATCTCTAAAATGAATAGCATGATTTATGGCAGCTTAAATTGGCTCGACTAAGAGAAATCTCGTACAAAAATGTGGATACCAGATAATAGCAAGATCTAACCAAGAAGGCTGATAATTTATGATCATTTGATAAGATGATACCCACTGAGTTCTGCAGTGACATCCTCAAAGCATAAAATACAAATATGAGCAAGTAGATTGTAGATAGAAACAGGCAACAGGGTTTCTCCTGATCACAGGAGCAGGAGTGTAATTAACAGATAAGCAAAGAAAGAGACAGAAACTGCTGTTTATGCACATGCGACAGCAATAACCACATCAGACAACCACATTTCATCATCCAGCTTAGCAAATCAGTTGTTACAACAATAACAAAGATCAATAGTCTTTAATAGCTCGATTATGAACGGGCCGATGCAATAAAAGACAGCATAATGAATAGGAAAGAATAAAAGCAGCTAAGCCACTGAAAGATATTCAAAATAGGAGTAAGTAGATCACTCGACTTTAAGCCAAGAGCCAAAGGGAATCAAAGAACAAAATAAATAAAACGGGACAAGTCTCAGGCACCGAGGCACGCACTCAGCAAGACAGCAATTCGCCAATTCAGCAATCAGCAGCACAACCAACAGTAAAATAACAAATCAACCAAAGTTTAAACCAAAGTTTAATAAAATTAACAAATTAGAATGAATTAATTTGAAGATTAGAAATTAAAAATAAAAATTAGAAATCAACTTACTAGCACCGACGTTTCGAGTAGCGATTTCACGAAGAGGACGGAGTCCACGAGTCACGACCACCGAGTCACCGACGTCCGACTACCAGGCGATTAGGCGAAGAGAACAGTGGCTGCCTGGCGAAGCGAAGAGGCGAAGTCACGAAGAGAAGAATGGAGATGAGCGAAGAGGCGAAGTCACGCGAAGTCACGAAGAGAAGAATGGAGATGAGGCGATTAAGAATGGAGGCGATTAGGCGGAGAAGGCGAAGTCACGAAGAGAAGAATGGAGGCGATTAGGCGGAGAAGGCGAAGTCACGAAGAGCACGAAGAGGCTAGGGCTTGAAGTCTCCTCTAACTGATTTTAATTTTTTATTTTTTTTTTTTTAAAAATAACTTAAAATTTTTTTTTGGGCCTGGTGAGTCACTTGACCCACCAGGTCTAAGCCCAAGTCCGCCACTGCAAGTAGCATATTATATTCCATATTGGTACAATATTCAACATACATGTGACAAGGGTTACTAAATTAGCTTTAAAAACAATATGGCCTTATCTATAACAACAATGCTTAAATATAGGGATTTTGTAGTTACAAAAGAAAAGGGGTAGAAATAAACGGATCCAATTCAATTATAGATTAACCAACAACCGAGTCATTAAAACTAATTAACAAAATGCAGGTAAACCAGCCTTACTAATTAGCCTTTATGATTAATTAAATGGTGTAATTAATAATATAGCCAAGCTGAAGAGTAAAGATCTTTCTAAAGTCCAACTAACAAAGCATGAAAAAAAGCACACATCTTTGCTACTGTTCAACGTATATGTCTAAATCATTTAAAAATATTAAAAAAAAAAAAAACTAAAAATACAGCTTGTGAAAACAATTAATGTAAAAAACCAAATAAAAACCACTCCTTGAAAAAGTATTCATACATTCAACATTGAACATATATCAACATTGAACATATATCAACACCACACACGTTGAACATTGAACATATATCAACATTGAACATATAAAAATTATACGGCTAGTTACCTCGTTGAACATTGAACATATATCAACACCACACACGTTAATAGCACAAAACCAATAAGTATATACCAAGCTAAGCTTAGTCTATCTAAGGATTCCTTACTCTTCTCTCACTCTAAAGTGTCTAACCTGCAAATGTTATTTAAAGAATATGTCAGGATTGAGATCTTGTTAGAGAGGATGTTGTATACTCCCCTCGTTATTAATACTCGCAATAATTTGACTTTAACATTATTTATATGTAAAATTTGACTGCGGACTCACTTTGATCATAGAAGGAATAAGGTTTGAAGCTACGTATTTTACTGTTGTAATATATAACAATCAAATGTTATTGTGTAGTATATGTCGTTTGATTAGTCTTAATGTAATATTTTTCATAACTTTTATTAATAAATACATAATTACATATTTTTAAGGTCAAATTTATACATAGGCACATGTGAGTCAAATTATTACAAGTAGTGGAAATACTTTTATTGTATGGGGCATCATAATTTGAAGTGAGATTAATTAATAAAGAGAAATACAAGTAATATATATAGCCTTTAGAATATACTTCCTCGGATCCATTTTGTTTTCTCATTTGAAATTTTGACACTATAAATTGAATTTTTTTTTTTTTTTTGAAAAAATATTGAAATAATCATTAAAATTAATTTAATATATAAAACATAATATAGTCATGTTATGTCTTATTTAATTCGTCTCGATCAATGAGTAGTTTAACACACAGTACTTAATATTTAATCGTTATACTACAGAATTGGAAGTACAGAGTTTAGATTTTTATGATAAAAGTAATTCATTGACAGAGATACATAATCAAAATAGGAAGAACATTTAGGATCGAATAGAATGCATAAAAACATTTAATACATTTCTTAAATTGACACAGGACATTAATATGAAAATACTTATAAATCATACATCAATCGGTGTAATTAATATCTTATTCAAATTAATATTTTCAGTTTTGACCTTCCTTATATCATGCAACTTTAAGGGTTGTAGGAGTACATTTCAATTTCCAACTAAAACCACTCTTCTTGCAAATTGATTCAATTTTATTGACCTAATTAGAAGAGTTATGTGGTTTTTTTTTTTTTTTTTTTGAGAATAGAATTAGAAGAGTTACTTAGTTTCACTTTTTAAAAAAAAATTACAGTAGTTTATTTAATTATTTTTTTTTTTAATTTTTGTAGAGAAAAGAAAAAAGTTGAACAAAATATCAACACGTTGGCAATAAAAGGAAGAAATATAAAAGAGTATACTATTTAATTTGAGTTGTGTTGTGTGGGCGCAACCTTGTATGAGGTAAGAGAGTGAAATTGAAACACATTCTATTTCTGAAATACAGAGAATCTACTCCCCAAAATTAACCATATTTTTAACGAAAATATAGTCAACTTTTAAGATTAAGGAAAAGAAGAATAATTAACAAGAAACAATGAATTTTGGGAAATTATTAAATAAATAATAATTATAATAATTTAGAAAAATAGGTAGGGGTAGTTCAAAGGCATTGAAGAACAAAAATTTGATTGAAAGATCATTAAAAAAATTAAAAATAGGAATTAAATGCAATAGTAATTGAGGCAGTTGAGACTTGGAGAATAATGAAGAGAGTTGCATCACGTCAGGTGATAAATACCAAATATTAATTGATTTCATCCCTTTTCTTCCTCTTCACACTAATCACTTAATGCCATTTTTTCTTCCTTTTGTTGTCAATTTGGGCAACTTCTTTTACCCCTCTCTATTTTTTTTTTTTAGGAAAGCTCTTCATACTCTTTTTTCTCAATATATTTATTTATTACTCCGTATTATTATTATTTTTAAAATAATTGTTTTTCCCGTGTAGAGATTGCATCATAAAAAGGCTTGTATAATTTTGAAAAAAAAAATCCTAAAGGTTTGGTTAACATCCATTCAATAATTTCAAGATTACAATTATTGACTTTTGTATTAAGTTATTTTTATTTTTTATTTTTTTGAACAAGACTTTTGTGTGAAATTGGGGCGGTAAAACGGTCATTTTGATTTGGTCGGTCAATCGAAAGCTCCATGTTTAAAGTGTTTTTATAAAATTATTGTTTTATGGGATGTTCGAGATCTATACTTAACTTTGCCTACCGTCCAATGATTTTAAGAAATAAGAATACAAATATTGACTTATTTCCGAGGCTATGGGGTGATCTTTACCTCTAATATAAGGAGACTTTTAGACCAAAGTTGGGATAGTTGAACACTCATGCGTAAGACATAACATACAATTATATTAGGAGAATTTTCTCATCCTAACACTTATTGCATCTTTTGCAAGGGGTGGGTGCATGTACACACAACTTTTAGAAGAAGATTTGCATATCACAATATTTAAAGATCAATTTATGAGTTATGACTACGACTCTACGAGTTTATTAGCACCATTATAATAAGACAGCTAAATCACCCATATAATACGAGAACAAGTGATTATCTCATACATGTACTCACTCCATCTTTAGAAATGAGTTATATAGTAAGCTAATTTAGAACGAAAAATATGAAAATTACTATCGTTGCTAAAGATACGTTTCATTCGTTGCTAAAGATATGTTTCATTCATTGCTAATTAATTGCATTTTTTATAAAGTGAGAAAGTATGGCTCTCACACAATACTCCAATTTCCCATCGAATGAAAGGTTAGATAATTCATAAAATTATTTGTATTTGGTTAGGATTCGTAATAATTAGAGAGAAACCAACCGAATAAATGAACCATTAATTCTTAGATAACACATCAGACCTACAAATATTTAGCAACAGAGGAAGAGATTATACGTGTATTAGTCATATTGGTCCCAAAAATTCCACGTAAAGTACAATATGTTAGACAAGCTGAGAGTCAGATAGAGAGGTTAGGCTTAATTCAAATCTACCACTTTGGTCTATGAATTAAATACAGTGTCCCACATTATATTTACAAAGGTACGTACACCTGTAAAGTACTACGAGTAACAGTCAGCTCAGTTTTCCAGGAATCTAATCTCTTAAAACAGTCAGAAGCCTAAAGATCTCCTGAAACCTGAGGGTGTCAACTTTTGAAACCAAAAAACTACTTAACTTGGTGGCGCCAATTTGCAACTGTGACCCTTTTGAAACATGGCAAGTGCAGTTAGCCAACTTAAGACAACGCTACGAGCAAGCTGCAACGTAAATAAGCCACCCCATATCAGGAAATGGGTACCGGCTAGCAGGCATAGCAGCAAGGCATCGGAAACTAGACCAAAACTAGACCTTTTGGGTTTTGAGCAGGAGCTAGGGCATCAAAAGTTTTGACTATCTGGTCATATCTACCAGACCGAACTCATGACTTGCTAGCGGACCATCATCAGACCCCTGAGACTACAGGTGAATACACAACTCTAAAGGATGGAAATGACTTGGCCGAATTAGCACGACTGGCTAGTGGCCATTGAATCAATAGGAGAAACTTGATGTACCATTCCTACTCCTAATTACACCAACTAGTAGTCCTTCAAATTGACAGAAAAGTAAAAGGAAACTGGGGCTACAAGTCAGCAATACTCAGTTATCTATTGCACCTGAGTCGGGCAGTTGATTTCATTTCATAACACCACATCTTACTTGAGTTAATCTGCATACGGGTTGCAACATTGTTTTGGTCCATCAAATATCATAGAAAAGCTTGCAAGTAATTTCAAAACCAAGCTCGAAAGTCGAAGCAAAGCAGGTTCCAGTGGACGGAAATAATAGATATAAGTTCCCCCCACCTCCCCACACCCCCCCCCCCAAACAAAAAATTTCATTCTACTCAATTCCCCCTCTCCACTCAACCATTCTAATCAATTACCCTCTCCACTCAACCATTCTAATCAATTACCCTCTCCACTCAACCTGTCTGCAAATATATTAGACAAGCAATGACTGCCAGGACAATAAACACCAGTTCTCACAAAAAATCACAATTTGTTTCCGAACTTTTGCCTACATGTGTCTTCATTTACTTGTAATGTAGCCAGTTCAAATAAATTTTCATAATGACCATCATTGAACAGAGAATTATTCAAGTGATTCTCGATCGTTTGAATACAGATACCAGATACAATTATAGCCCTAGAATGAATATCCTTATCACCTCTCACATGGATACAGGAAAATAAAACATAAGGCTCACAATGTCAAAATGATCCCACTCAACTCTTTTTCTTCATGGCATAGCCACAATGTATAGCTCAACTCAAATACTTCGTATATCATTAAAATGTCCATAGAAATATTAATGCAGCTAGAAAGAGGCTTATCAGGCATTCTTGTCTAACTCAAAAAAGAATTATGTGCTGATATTACTGCAACTGAAGATAGCAGACAGCAGAAAATGAAACTATTTACAGTTCTGCCAAAAACAATCAGATTAAGTATCCTGGTTCCAAAATCCTAAGTAATCACTCAAGCTGGTTCAACAAGATGAACGCAATAAAGACAGATTTTATATTCAAATATGCATGATGGATACTAAACAAGAAGAGACAACGAGCTACACAAAATCATAGACCCTATATTGCATTATCAATTTCTCTTTCATGGTAAGTTTCTGCAATAACCTGCCTACAATACATAAGATAATAACACTTGGTAATACATAACCAATCTTGACATCATAATCCACCTATTCTTAGTGATTTAAAGCAGTCCTGCACATCAAACAACCTCATGACATAAACGTCACATAAGCAGCAGAGAAGGGGAAAAAGTAAATCATAAACTATCTCCTATAATTTCCAGCATATTTAATTTTGATGAACGATGTTATAAGCAATGATAGATTCAAAGGTAGTAATCCCAGGTCAGTAAGTTCCTTCATCCATGACAAGTTGTTGGCACGAGACCGGAGAGAAGAGGCACTCTTTAGGAAGAATATTGAATGGTGACAAGCAAGTAAGTCAGAGAAAGACAGGGGGGGGAGGGTAAGGGAGGGGAGAAAGAGAGGGCACTGACCTAGAATTTTCGTTTATAGTAAGTGCAAAACTCATTTGACCAAATTTTCGTTTGTAATATTCAGCAACCACTGCAAGAGATTACGGATGAAAACCAGTGACAGATAGCAATATAGCATACAGTTGGAAATATAACTCTGGAATTTCTAAACTTAATACTCAGTGATTCTGGTTCTATTCTAATAATCTACCGCAACATTTCACAAAAATTACAAAAGAGCGTGAAGCATTACAATTGATAGCAGAACTAGATAGATGAGAATTATGAGTAGAATATTAGATACTCTGTACTCAAAGAAAGAAATGACAATGTCCAAGGTGAACTTTAATAACTAGCAATAAGATTCATGAAGGAATAAAGAAGCAACAGAACACACTAGCATACTGTGAATTATAATGCATTACAAGTTATGGAAGCAACACAAAGAGTTACCCAACAGCATAACTACTCATTCTCTACTCGCTTCTTCCTAAATGTTCGTGCAAAAACCTACTCCTAAACCAAAAACATATAAGATTAAAAAGAAGAGCATACCTTTCAGAAGGAAAGTGAAAAGGATCACCACCACTTACATTCAAGTAACGCACAAGAAGCATCAAAAAGGTAATTCTTTCTAACAATGTTCTTCAAGCAATTACTCCCAACCACTACTACTTCTAATATATTTATCAGTTATGTGGAATGCTTCATTTTGTGCTACTCGCCTAGCATAGTTTTCCATTGAGATAAGACCCTTTTTCAGTCTCCGGTAATAAATTATCTCCCAAGGCCATAGTCGGGAAGAACCAAAGTAATCTCCAACATCAAGGTGCTGTTCATTCTCTTCTGGATGTTTCAAATCATAGCATTTCATAACCCTGGACAATTCCTCTGCAGATATGCTTAAACGGCTGCCAACATGCGATTTAGGCGAAGCTTCCAGATCTGAGGTATCATTAATTGGTTCCAAAGATTTAGTCGTTTCTACATTGGCATTTTCAAGTTCCTCGGTTTCTTTTAGTTCTGCAGCTGAGATGTTTACAGCAGCATATTCACCGTCACCCTTCTCAAGCAAAGATGAGCTAGGAGCCTCGAGGTCACATAATACATGAGGGACAGTGGAGTCACTATCAGTATCAGTAAGTACTTTATCCAGCTTCATGCCATCTATCATCTTTTCAGAAGTAGAAATGCATTTGCTTCCTAGAGGCGCATCTGCTTGTGGAGGTTCAAAATTCTGCTGAGGTTCTAACCACTGATTCTCCTCAAGCATTGCCTCCTGAATGTCCTGATATTGTGGAATCTGATCATCTTCCCCAAAACCATTCAAGCTTTCCTCTGTATGCTTTGTAGAAGTCATAATATCTGAGTTATGTTCGGATTCCCTCCTCTCTATTGGAACATCCATGATTTGATAACTTGTAAGATTATCCATACATCTACTCAAACTTCTCTCTGCTTTGTTAGCAATGGACAGGTTTTCCTCACATATTTCAGGTTCGTCATGTTGCCTCACTTCGGTATGCGCGTCCCTGGACAGAGGACTAGGTCCACCTTCAGAATATGCATTCAAATTACCCTCTGCCTTGTTTGGAGAGGAGAGTAAAGACCGACCAATAGAGATAGACAGGGAAGAGGATGGTGATCTTGACCTTGACCTAGACCTAGACTTGATCTTAATACTTCTAGACCTGGATCTATGCAATCTTATATTGGACCTGGATCTGCACCGTTTTGAATTAGACCTGGATCTTCGTGATCTTGAATTGGACCTGGATCTGTGCGATCTTGAATGGGACCTGGATCTGCGCGATCTTGAATAGGACCTGGATCTAGCAGAAAGGGAATGTGATCTAGGTGATCCATTTTTAAAATGAGAGCTCAAACCCCCCAAAGGCTTTGACGGTCTTGAATATCTGCCCAACTCAGGAGATGCACAATCAGAATGAAGATGAGACAAAGCAGACACCCTCTTTTTCTTATCATCATGCGACTCTACAATTTGATCATCACTCTCCCTTTGTCTATCTCTATTATTGTTCTTTCTCTTATCCCACCCAGATTCATTTTCTACTGGAGAGTGTTTAACTCCATCCTTTTCTGAATGAGATATTTTCCCGTGAATGTCAGGTTGTCTTGCAGATTTCGAATTCCGACAACAAGACTGCAACCGTCCCCCAGATCTAATCTGTGCCCTTTCAACTTCATTCTTAGCTTTTACATCATGCCTATGATATGGGTGGTACGTGTTCTTCTCTTGCAAAGCCTCTTTTGATGAACAATCACGCATCTTGTGACCAACAGCTCCACATTTAAAACAAGTTTGCTGGCCTCTTTTTCCATCAGGATGTACCCTCCTGTTCTTGTCCGGTGATGTCCTTACAGAATGTGAACCAGCAAAATGATCCAAACCATGATTATCATATTCTTCACCTTTTTCATCAACACGACCAGGGTCATAACGATCAAATCCCCTCTGTGCATCATAACCAGTATCATTTCGAAGATTATCAACTTGCTCTCCCCACCTTCCATCATCTATCTGATTGGGTTTAATTACAACACGACCACCTTCTTCCAAAACTACTTCCCTTTGATCATAATGTATACGTCCTGCATCATTAAGATTAAACCTGTGCCTATCATCATGTATCTCAGGAGACTTGTGCCTTTCTCGACCTTTATCAGGTTGTTTTTTGTCACTCATTAAGTAACCTCTACGACCAACAAAATCATCACCTTGGTCAGAATGTATTCCATATCGCACATCATGAGATCTGGCAGCTCTTTGCAATGGCTTAGGCTGTTTGTTTGACCACGAAAGATATATTGACTCGCCACAAATCTTCCTGCCCTTCAGAGTCCTTAAAGCCTTCTCAGCATCCCCACGGAAGTCATACACTGCAAACCCATATCCATCTTTCAGTTGCACAGTGCATCGGCCAAAGCTCTTGAAAATACGTTCCAACTCATCCTTGCGCATTCGAGGAGACAGATTAGCAAGATGCAAAGACATCTGCAATAAAAATAAAAATAAAAAGAAAACAAATATTAATAGCAATTAGTTTAAGTTTCTCTACAGTCAATGGTAGAATGTCACGTGAAAAAATCTCAATGCTAATTTGCATCACCATTATAACGTAGTTGCAAACTTCCAAATGTTTTATATAGCAAGTGAGATAGAATTACATGCAAAGGTGAACAGAAAAGAGTGGCAGTCCTTGGCCCCCACATCATCCCAATCTAACAACCCAGTTTAGAGTGCTATAAGTTATCTTCTCTAAAGCAACCAAAAGTATCAAATTGAGTGTGTATGGCTGTCACATAAAAGAAATTCAGAAACCACAACCAATAAACCTGCAATCATCCTAAAGAATGATTATGTTTTGGCTTCATTATTAGTCATTAGAAAAAACATACCCCTGCAACTAATCAACAAAAAGACTCTATTTCGATTTCATTATGAAGTCTCAATATAACACTCCTACAATCTATTCATAAAGAAAATAAACATACAAACGGAAAAAACAAACCATATCTATAAAAGTAGAGTAAGGTTGGAGCAAACGTTTTGGCTAATCCACAAAAGTAATTATGAGAATCCTTAATCCCCGGATTTTCCATTTGAAGGCCAAGGGATGGAATTTACTTCTTTTGCACTAACTCAAACCAAACATTGGAACATTGCTAATGACGTTCCAAATTGTTTCATAAAATCAAACTATCAAAGAACAAGCAGTCTAGTAAGTAAGCACTGGCTAGAGATTGTTTGACTGTTCTTAGTCCACCGACTCCCTATGTTACTTGGAATCTCATTTCATCTAAAGCACCCATGTCAGATTCTAAACACACCCACATTGGTATGACCACTTGAACTTCAGTTTGAGCTAGAATCATGATTTTTTTTTTTTTTTCACATAATAGCTGAGCAAAACATTTGGACACATGCACAAGTTAGACACAAGTACCCGAGTCCAAGTAACATAGCCAACCCTCATCTTATGCCAAGGAAAGGACATTTCAAAATACAATCAAACATTGCTACTGACATTCTAAACTACTCCGTATTTCACAAATCACAAAAACAACCCTTTAATCACTGGTTTGAGACTGTTTACCCCGTAAATAAACGACATCATTGACAAGGTCTGAGCAATTCCCCAACATACCCAATTTAAGAAATACCACCTCCAAAATTAAACTAACTGCTAGTTAACTCAACTACAAAACATGTTCACATTTGCCATAATCTTAACAAACCCCTTCACATAAATACTAATTAAGCATTCCTTAATCATTTGACACAATATTAACAAGACAAAGATTACCCGAAAAACAAACCAGGCATCAGCATAAAATTACCCAGAAAACTAAACACAAAATTAATTTTAAAACCATATTCTTTTGGAGTCAATAATCTAGCAACATGAACTAAGCAAGAAAAAACATATAAAATCCTAACAACACCAACAATATAAAATCATAAAGTAAGATATAGTCATATAGAAATTCATTACGAAAACCAATTGGCAAAAGTTAATAAAAGCCACAAAATTTGTCCTTTTTATAAGGGAAAAATAAAAGGAAGTGAAGGAAACCTTGTAATAGTTATTTGCAGGTGATGATTGGTACAATATTGTGAGATTTTGGGTTCCCGAAGAAGAAGCACACAAGTATTTTCTCTCTCTTCAAATTGTAATTTGGGGGGGGGGGGGGGGGGGGGTGGAGGACTTGAAGCGTCGACGAGGTTAATAGACAACGCCTGAAAATAAATACAGAGACTGGAGTGGCGTATTGTCTATCTTAAGTAAAACCTTAACATCGAAGTAGATCTATATGGTACCGACGAGCCTTTAAAACGTTGGAATGAGAATTTGGGGATTAAAAAAAAGAATAGGATTGAGAATTAATGGTTGAGAGTTTATGAAAAATATGTATCTTATTTGGATAGTGGGTGAGAGGAATATATAGGAAATAAATAACAATTTTACAAATATACCCTTACTAATATTTTTTTTTTTCATTGTTTTCATTAATGGCAAAAATGTTTTTTTATCATTCATTTAATACCTACTCTCCCTAGGTAATAAAATGATGAGAATTTTCACCCAAATATTTTCATTCCCAAACCTATTTTTATTCCCATTTCCATCAAACAAACAAGGTTTTTTTCTTGAATTGGGATTAAAATTCCTAATCCCACCCTCAATTCCCACATACCAAACACCCCCGGAGTATATACAATAAGTCACGTATAAAGCGGACTTACATTAATTTTATTGTAAGACGGTTACCTTAAAGGAAACTTTATCTACTCCCTCCGTCTCTAAAAGAACTACCCTTTTGGGCATTTTTCACGGGTATTAAGAAACTTAAGTGGGAAATACAAGTGTTTGGGGAAGCTAATAAAAGTACATTGAAAAACTAAATTTACATGGGATTTGTAAAAAAGTAGAGAGAAAAAGTAATAAAAGTACATCGAAAAAGCAGAGTGCATCTCAGCGCATAGCTACTAAGCGTTTACAAAGCATATAGGAGGGCAGAAATGTAAATTTAGCAAGCTTTAGAATTAAAAATGAAAAAAGCTAACTCTACAGTGGTATATTATAATATATCATTATGCATATATATTGTACCATTAAAGTATAAGTTGTTTTAATAGTACTTTTTGTGTACTATTATGCATGTAGTGGTATTTTTTTTCCATCCTATAGGTTAAATATTTTCCCCCAAAATACTTACCACCTGTCACCTATAATACATGTAGTGGTACATTTTTCCATCCTATATGTTTTCTAACAAATAGCAGCTATGCGCTAAGGGTTAACTGAAAAAGCAAAAGTTACATGGGAAAGCTAATTTTGCACAAATATTATTGCAAATTGGAGGGTGCTTTAATGCCAATGAGATGAACATTTTGAGATTAAAATTTGGTCAAAAGGGTCGTTCTTTTAGGGACGGAAGGAGTATTTTTATAGTAACTTTAATTCGGATAACTCTTAATTTGTAATGAGTTTGATTTGAATTTTAATGTGTAATTTATAACAGATATATGATATGATGGCTAATATGATTATCTAACACAAATTTTTATATGTGGCCGGGGTTTCTTATTCAAGAGTTAAAGTAATTCTTAACCGACTGAGTAACCCCTATTAGGGGTGTGCAAAAGAGGACCGAGACCGGAAACCGGACCGTAATTGGACCGGACTGGCCCGGACAGATGAATCCTCAGTCCTTACAATTTGGTGATTCCGTGTTTCCGGTCCGATCCGGGTAAATATCGGAATAATCTGGTCCGGATCGGAAACCCGGAAAAATGCTTACTTTTTTTTTATTTTTTTTTATTTTCTTGGTTAAAAATTTGAAGTTTATGTTTTAATTTCTAAAAACCCTAACTTTCTAATTTCTCACGCCTCTTCTTCCTCTTCTCATTCACTTTCTCTCTCTGCTTCTTCTCCATCCCTCAAACTCATCCCTCCACACTGCCTTCATTGTAATACCCCGTATGTTTATACGTATTTTAATTTAAATCATTATTTTATGAAGCATTTAAATAATTTGAAATGAATTATTTATGGTATTTTATTAATTTAAAAAGAATTATTTTAATTAAAGGTCCATTTTTATTTATTTAATGGTTTTGAAAATATTTTATTTTATTATTTAGAAACTTTGGGGCATATTATTTTATAAAAGAAAATTTAAAGTCAATGTTGTTTAAAGAAAGTCAAATGACTAGTTTTAATAGGAGAAGGGATTATTAAGGGTAAAAGGGAATTTAAGAATAGGAGGGTTTTGAGAGAGGGGTATAAATACCCATTTTATGAGCAAGTTAGATCTTGCCCAAGATGGAGAATACCCAAAGGTAAACTCTCTCTCTCTCTCTCCTCTTATTTTCTCTCCCTTAATTTTTCCCCATCCCCTTTTATTTTTACACACACACGCACACACCCAAGGTGGTCGGCCGCCGCCACCACCTCCCATCGACCGGCCAGCAGCCGCCCGCGTGGAAGGCGGCAACAGCCCCCTCCTCGTCGTGTGGCGGTGCGGCTTCAACAAAAAAAAAATCTTTTTGTTTTAATCCTAATCTAGCCTTGATTTAATTATTGTTTTCGGGTTGTGTGATGATTTTTATGATGTTTGATTATGATTATTATGTATATAAATTTCAAATTTGGTTTTGAATTTAAAACCCCAAATTGAAAACCCTAGGTTTGTAAATTAATGTATATTGGTGGAATTTGATTGTAGATGATTAATATTATTGAAATAGGTGTTTTTAAACATAATTACAACAATTTTACATATTTTTAAAAAACTAGAATTTTAATATAAAGGTTAGAATTATGTTTTTTGAAAGGATTTTTAATTACCCGTTAATTGGGAAAAAGTAGGGGTTTTAAATTAATTTTCAGCTTGTTTTAGAGGGTTTATAAGTGATTTAAAGAGTGTATATATTGCTGGAAATTTATATTGAATAGATATTAATGTCTTTTTGTAATTTTGGGTTGTAGGAGATTTCCAAGTGAGTGATTTCGTGTAGTCGAGGCGATTTTGAGATCATATTCAAGGTACGTTCGCGTACTCGGTAATTATTTAAGTGTATAGAAGCATGCTAGGCTTTGTTTAATTAATTCCAAGGTAGTATCATGATAGGTATTGGTTGAAATTGTTGATTGGATTGATGTTGGCGATTGATTTGTGAAGTATGATTTATTTGTGGTGAATTGATGATCGGAATTAATTATGTTGGCATGTTGAATATGAACCACACTTTTATTGTTGGCATGATTGTGAGCATGTTTAATTAAGCTAAATGTTTAATTGAGTTTGGAATATTGAAAGAGAATTTTATTGATGCTACAAGCATGAAAAATGAGCTATTTAAGTGTCTATGTACACGAGGATTAAATTATATTTTTGGTGCCTAGTGCACTTAAGGTGTTCTAAACACCGAGGGATAGAATTTGTGGTGCTTTATGCACATAAGGTGTTATTTAACACCGAGGTGGTTTAAAAAGGATTCAACATTTAATTTTTGTGGTCATGTGCTATGCAAGAATTACATGGGTGTGTTTGATTGCTTGAATGATTTATTATGATTGATTGTGTTATGGTTTGAGAGTCATCACCAAGTCTAAAAATATGTAAACAACATAAAGTGAAAGTGATTGCGCACCAAAACTCTTGGAACGGATATGCCTTGAGTATGAACATATGGGGGGAGCTATGCGACTTTATATTTGACCATAACTTCTATTGGGAGTACAGGACGCTGTATATTCCTTTTTATTATGCACAGGAATTCCGCCACTTACGAGTGGTTCTTTTATACTGGCACGGTTAGCTCCCGTGTTAGTATCCCTTTATTGGGGCAGGTTAGGGGAAAACCCGTTCGATGCGTAATCAAGTTAAATAAATAATCTAGTGATTTGTTAGTTGGCTATGTTGTATGTTGTATGCTTGTAAACAAGTGCAACAAGGTAAGTTGTGTGTTGATAGGATGAAAGCATGTTAGTGTGTTCTATTTATACTTATGTACTCAACATTGCTGATTATGTGTTTGTATGTTTGTTTGGCCTTGTCTTTATCTTGGCCCTACGACGACCTATTTCTGATGGCGAGTAGTGGGGACAAAGTAAAGAGAAGTTTTTCAGGTGATGAAGCATATTCATGATGGGCATGAGTGAAGAGCGAATCATGCTTAGTTTCTATAAGAATGTGATGTGATTTATTGCTTTGAATATTATATATTTTACTTGTGAGACTAACACAAAGGTTTTAAGTCTTATTTCGGTTTTAATAAGGACCTTCAAAGGTTCCTAGTTGTAGGTTGACTTCGTTTGACTTTACTTTCCTTGGTTTGACTTTTTAAGTTGACTTCTTTTGATTTATTTTTAAAGAGAGTCTTCCGCTGTGTGTCTTTGATTTTGCCTTAGCTGTTTTCATGGTGGCGATAATGTCTTAGAATTTCCTATTTCGTATTTTAAAAAGAGCAAAACAGATATTTTAAAGGAAAGGAATTTCTAGGGTGTTACATTCATCCTTCCACCGCTCATCTCCGGCTGCAGCACCGTCTAGGCCATATTTGTCTTCCTCCTTTTTTCCCCCCTTTTTTTAAAAGTTGGTTATAGATCAAAATTGAGGATGCTAATATGACCACCCGCTGGACGCAGCTCCAAGTCTCTAACCACCTCACGACGCCTGACCATTCGCCTGTTCTACCGTCTCCAACTCGCTGGACGTGGGTCCTGTTCCAGCCCCGGTCCAAAATGCAGCAAAAAAAACAAAAAAGGGGTCTAATTGGTATTAATATGCAATTTAAAAAATTCAAAAAACAAAAAAAGATCTAATCGGTCTAGCTGGTCCAAAAATCGGAATGGACCGTAATAAACAGGTCCAAACCGGAACCAAGACCAGTTAATTATGATCCGGTCCTCGATCCTTACAAAAAGGCGATTTTGGGTTCCGGTCCATTCCGGTTCCGTATTAGTCCGTTTCGATTTTGGACCGGTGCACAACCCTAACCCCTATAAGTAACCCCTAACCGATTGAGTAACTCTTATAAATAATCCCTGACCGACTGAGTAACCCATGAATAAGTAATCCCTTTAAGTACCCCTGAATAAGTAATCCTTATAAGTAACCCTTGAATAAGTTATCCTTATAAGTAACTCCTGAATAAGTAACTCTTATAAGTAATACCGGACGCACAATGTAGCCAGTCACACAGAAAAAAGCACCCTTAATTTAATACTTTTAAGTGTTTAAGGGTAAAATTTATGTCAGAATTTTTTAAACTTTTGTACTCGTAGTATATAAAGGGTAATTTTAAATATTTTTAGAGTAACTTTAAACCGTTTGCCTTAATCAAGAATTTGTGTTATATCGTATGGTAATTTCTAGAATTAGTGAATTAATGATTCTAGAAATACTCCTTCCATCACTTATCTATGGTTAAATTTGGTTTTTAAGTGGGTAACCGAGTATTAAGGAAAAGACTTTAGAAATTTGTAAAATGAGAATATTTATTTTGGGAGTAAATAAATATATTGGTAAATGAAAATATTTGCTTTGAAAATATGTACTAGTTTTGTTAAGTAAAAATACTCGTAGTTGTTTTGGGAATACATATATCCTTGTATTTGGTAAATGGAAATATTTGGATTGGAAGTTTGTAATATGAAGGTAAATGTATTTGAAATGTCAAAATATGGAGGTATATGTGTAAAATAATTATTTTTATTTTAGGAAAGTTTATAAATGTAACCATAGAAAGGAGACGCCCAAAATTGAATACGTGTAATCATAGAAAAATGACAAAGGGAATACTCTCTACCAAGTACTCGCTATCTCTATGGCTAGGATAAGTGTAGATCAAAATTGTCTGAAGAACCGATCCTCAGCCGATTCGATAATAGTTTCGAATCGAAAATCGAATTTGAAAATTTCGGATAACAATTTATTTATTGTTGTAAAAATGCAAACAAGTCAATGATAACCCTGCAAAAGAACAAGAGTAATCTTTAATGTATGACTTTTAAATTTACCTAACACTTGAGGTTTCAAAAATTACTCATGATCACCAAAACACCAAACCACTTATTGTTGTGAGTTTATTGGTGAGTTTGACTCAAGACTCACATACAAGACTGTGTTTTTTGCAATAAAGTGGTGCAAGACTATAGGTAGTCTTGAGATGAGTTTTGGATTCCAAAACTCATCTTAAGACTCTACAAACTCATAAAAAGCAATCTGATTATTTTTTTAGCCAATGTGGAGTTGCCAAGTCATCAACTCAAAATAATTGTTGATATTTGTAAAAAGGAATAGATATATAAATAGTAAATTTGGAGTGAGTCTTAGAATAATGTGTTAAAGTGGAGAAAGTTTGGTATGAGTCTAAATAATAAAAAACTAATTTAATCTTAGTGGAAGGCTAACGTGACAGAGTCTGAATTATGAATTTGGGTCTGGAGATGGGGATAAACTTACCCTTAGTTGGACATAAACTTACCAAGTTTGCGATACTGACTGGAAACTATTTAGAGTACGTAGTTTTATAAAATTCACCTATTATGTATTTTATACCCATTGTTGATAATGGATGACTAATCGATCAAGATGTAATAAGAAAAGTCTAGTTTTTTTTTCCCATCTTAATGCTATTAGATTATGATTTAGCTTCTAAAAACAAGTAACAAATAATTTTATGGCTCAATAATTATTATTAACACAAAGTATTTTACTACACGTAATCCTAATAGCTAATCGATACACATATACATGAAAAGATGGCACTCGCCTGGCGATTAGTGGCATGCCATGACCAAGTATGACAAAATACGGAACTGACATGAGGTAGGCACGAAATGTTAATGTGTATGACGGGTTTGAGCCATTTTTATTTGGAAAAAGCATTTTATGGCACATTATGATAAAAATTAATGAAATTTGGTTTAGGCATACAAACATATATTACATGGTGGCACGGTGGCTGATGGGCCGACCTTTGGAAAATTTTCAGCTTACACAACACGTAGCTCATGACTAGGCCATGGGCCTAGCCTATCTAATCCCAAAAAACGTGAGCTTGGCACGAGGCATGGCCCGACATGGACTGCAATCACTATACTCCTTCCGTTTTTTTTAAAAGCTACATTTGCTATTTTCGTCAGTTTTTTTAAAGTTGCACTTCTTTTTTGGAAATCTCTTACAATTTTAATAATATATCTTTACCCACTAATGTCACCACTTTTTCTTACTTTATTAATTCCCACTCTTCTAATGGTTCCCACTCCCTTTCACACCACTTTACTTTTCAATAATTTTTTTTTTTACACAATCAATAACCTTATCTACCCCACTAACATATTTGTTTATTAAACCTCCTAAAACTCTGTACAATCTCAGCTTAAAAAAAAAAAAAAAAACGGAGGAAGTACATGATAATTTATTGTGCAATGAAACATTGACACATAAGGAAAGAGATTTTTTAGCAATGTTGTTGATGTATTGTTGTGCACTGTATAAATAGTTGCGGTAACGATGAGATACAACAGAGGCTAGTCCAAAAATCAATAATGTTTATGGTTAGATAAAGTTACAAAAGAGGAGAGGCCATACTTGATGCTTTGCTTAGAATCCAAATGATTGCATTCCTTAATTTCCTGATCAATGTATGTACTTATATTCTTAATTATACACATGAAGACTTTAGGTTATAGTTTTATTATCTAACATGACAAACAATTAAATAAAGCTAAACGAAAAAGTAGAGAAACATCAAAACACAACGTACCAAAACCACGAGGTTCATTTTAAATAATAATATTCAGTACTATGTGATGCATGAACATTAACTAAAGTTGGCAGCCAAATTATATAAATGTTGGATGTTTGGTACCAAACAAAAGAGTTGATACTCTCTGTGCTGCACATTGATCATCACATTCTTATATTGTTATGCAATTATCATAAATTATGGAGATGATCACAAGTCATGCAAGTGGTGCTCAATTTTCCATTATTTAGTTTGTTGAACTACTTATGGCCGATATATCAATTTATAATTTTCACAAGAGTAGTAGCGGGTGATTTAAAGCTACGTTACGGTAAAACTTACATATGTCAATAATTTTTTTAAGTTATTGAATATTTCCTGCGTTACAAAAATATGATTATTTCGTTCTTTCTCTTATATTTGAAAGTCATTGTCCACGTCCCTGCTCTCCCTATTTTCTCTCTTTCCACTTCCATATAAAAAAAATAAAAAATAAAATAAAATCTATTTGATACTTTACAACTCAATATATTATGTAAGATTAGTGCTCCATTTTTATAATTCAAAAATTATCCACTGTAAAACTAATTGACTAATGCAATGATCAACCAAACATCATGTTTAATGAAGTGGATGAAATGACAGTTCTTCAATACAATGACTGCTTTATAACACATTCATTGACTATGAAACCTAAATATAATCAATCTTTTTCCTCGATTATTCATTTGGATTATTATATTGAAGCAATTAATTTATAATTGAAACTTTCAATCAAATAATTAATTTTAGTAAAAGAGTAAACAGCTAATTAAAGTTATGGTAAAACTTTCATGTGTTTATAAAGTTATTCACTTTTTCAATCTTTCTCCAATGTTTGAAAGTTTCTATCTTTCATCCCCTTCTATAAGTAATGTTTTATATAGCTTAAAAGTGGTTCCTAGTAAAACTAATTCAATATTTTTTTGGTGCACACTACTAATGCAATGATAAAACTTTAATTTGTAAATACAAGGACTATTCATCAATACAGTGACTTTTTTATATCCTCATTGACAATTGAATCCTATTAGATAATATATCTTTAATCTGTAATTGGCACATTTAATCACACGAACAATAATTCAATTCAATTCAATTCAAATAAAAAATAATAACGAGTTTTAGAAGTCACGCTATTACTTACATATGTCAATTAATTTTTAAAAGTTTACTTTTCCATTTTGTATCTATGTATAGAAGTTACCGTCCCACGTCCCCACTCTCCCTTCCTCTCTCTTCTTCCCACTTCCATTATAAAAAAAAAAACCCCAAACCTCCCAATTTCTTCCTCCTCTCCCCAGTCACCATCAAAACCCTAGAAATTCAAATTATCCAAAAATTCGCAGTTAATTTATTCCAATCAACACTGAAGAAGTGAAAATTGAAGAACCCTAACAATTCGATAAGTTCTGGATTCTTGATGGCCATTGTTCAATTGATTAAGATCCGGGAGGTATGGTCTGATAATCTTGAATCTGAGTTTTTGTTGATTCGATCTTTGATCGACGATTACTCCTACGTTGCCATGGATACGGAGTTTCCCGGCGTACTTTTCCGGCAATTCGGCAGCGAATCGCGGCCTAAGTACACTTCTCCGGGGAAACACTACTCTCTGTTGAAGCAGAACGTCGATGCTTTGAAGATCATTCAATTAGGGCTAACTTTGGTGGATTCCAATGGAAATCTGCCCAATCTCGGAAATCCTAAGATCGGCTACATCTGGCAGTTTAATTTTAAGGATTTCGATGTTACGACTGATAATCAGTCGCCGGATTCCGTCGAGTTGTTGAGGAATCACGGCATCGATTTCGCTATGAATTTGAAATCTGGAGTTGACTCAGTGAAATTCGCTGAGTTGATGATGTCGTCTGGTTTGGTGTGCAACGATAATTCAGTCACTTGGCTGACATTTCACTGTGCTTATGATTTCGGCTATCTGGTTAAAGTGTTGACTCAGTCGGAATTGCCGAGTGAGCTCAGTGTGTTTGTTAAGCTGGTGCGCATTTTCTTTGGAGGGAGAGTATTTGATGTGAAGTACATGATCAGGTTCTGTGATGGCTTGTATGGAGGATTGGATCGTGTTGCGAAGGCTTTGGAGGTGAAGCGAATGGTCGGCCAGTCGCATCAAGCCGGTTCCGATAGCTTGCTCACATGGGTTGTCTTCGAGAAGATTCGAGAAATTTTCTTCAAGAAGCCTGGCAGCATTGACAATTACGCTGGAATGTTGTATGGGTTAGAGACTTCTTAGCAAATTCTCTTCTTTGATCATGCTCTAATGTAAATTAATGTCTTTGGATATGTCGTCATTGATGATAGTTTCAAGAATATAGTATAGTCCAGTTTTAATTTAATCTGGCTTCATTTCTTCTTTAAATTTCGTTTTTTTTTTTAATTCTTTTGCTTTTTTTTTTTCCTCCCTTATGCTTTTATATTTTCTTTGCCTTGCTCCAACGATTCCTGAGAGAAATATTGATTGAGACTAGAGCTAAATGTGATATTTGTGGTTTTCGCAGACGGTGAGGAAGTCGAAACTGCTTTATGAACTTCTAAAGGAATTTGGGGATTTTGGAGGTACAAATACTGCGTGCTTTTAGATGCAGTATTAGTGATATTCAAGTTTTGGGACTATATTGTGTAGTAATTTAGCTTGTTAGGGAGCTTGGGTGTTTTATTGACTGAATAGGATTGGAAGTGTACCAATTTGTGTATTGAACACCTATGGAAAAGAAAATTAGACAAATTATGGATATATAAATGGGTCTATCTTGGTTTTTGTTTCAAAGGTGATGGAATAATGATGGAAATTTGGAACAAGGAGTGATCTTAGCTACTTATCTCTTGTCTATTTTAACAGTCGAACATCGGAAAATTGTGTAAATCACTTTAGTTCCACTAGTTTTCCTCTTTAGATGAGCCAAACAACAAAATTTGTGTAAATCACTTAACAATAATTTTCAACTTTTTAGAGATTTAGACAACCAAATTAGTGAAGGTATTTTTGATGTTATTATTGTTACTTGTCTGGAGTTTTCCATTTAGTTATACATGTAGAGAAAGAGGAAAGGGAGCTGGTCTATTTGTTTTTGTATAATCTCTGATATATGATGAGTTAATTTGGAGCAATGGTGGTCTTTGGTGTTCCAGATTGTTATCCCTTCCCTCAAGTGTTATATCTCAGATAGAGTGAGATTTTGAAGAGTAGGATATAGCTGGAAGTTTGAGCTTAACTTTAAGAAGTATTTCCGTCAGGTTGAGAGAAGTTTATCGAGAATGTCTCCATTGGGTATAGTTTGACATGTTAGCTGAAGGGACTTTTGTCTTTATCAACTTGCATATCCTTTGCTTTGGAGTTTGGACTGTCTAATTCCTTAAGATTGTGGGATGCTTGAGATAGTATAGGTCTTGGAGCCTATGCATAGGGCAGGAGGTGAAGATGAGTAGGTGAATTGTTGGTACATTTCCTTGGCTGAATTATTTCTGTCTTACAATATAGAATGTTCTGATTAGAATTACATTTAGGCTCTGTTCTCTTCACCTTTTGCTGAATTGAAATTAATTTTATCAAACTAAAACTATTTTTACTGAACTAAAATTATAAAAACTTATTTTTACTAATCATCTATTATATTTGTTCTTTAATGTTATCAATTAACAATTATTTTTAGTGAAATAAACTAAACTTATTTTTACTAAATTGAAATTATTTTTACGGAATATTATTATTTTAAGGTGAAGAGAATAAAACCTTTGTAGGATAAGCTATACGAATTTGTTTGTTGACTTCACAGTGCCAAGATCCACAACAATGATAAAGAGAACCTTGTTCGGGTTTCTTTTTTGCCGTTAATGACCTATTTACCTAGAGTTGGATGATTATGAATTATGGTTTCATATTTTTTTAAGTTGAACAGTTGCCATAAGTCTTGCCTATTGTGTATGAAGAACATTGAGGTGTTCCTTGGTGAGGCATGTTTTCTTGGAAGGTTTATATAGATATGTTCTGAGTTCATAGGTACATATTCAGTAGTGGTAACATTGTAATGCCTATGAAATATCCAATCTTGGATGAATAAGCTCTATAAAACAATAAATAACCTTGAAAAATCCATGGGCCCACATTGCCATGGATAAAATCATTATTAGAGGTAAAAAATGATACATATGTATAAATATTTGTTAATTATGATATAAGAGATAATTAAGGCAAAATTATGAATCTGTAATTGAGATAATTATGAAATTAGAGATAATTAAAGCATAATTTTCAACCTGCAATTGAGATAACTATCAAGTTATTATTAATGGAGAAATTGATAATGTTGATTAAGGCATTAATAAATGATGATTATTTGATTGTTGAACATACATGACGAATGACTTACCAATAAAAAAACTTGATGACTTAATAAGGGGCAAGAGTCACTTCTTTCTTCTTTGTAATGCCTATATTAGTAAATAAATATTTAAATAACAAAAATCAATTTAGAAAATATTAGCTCCAATGCTTCATAGTCAATTAAAATTGATTTTATTTAATTTTATTCCATAATCAATATGATTCGCATTATTTTATCATCATTACCCTAACTTTTGTTTGATTATTTTCCGTAAATAAATACTCCCTCCATTTTTAATTTTTTTTAATGGTTATTTAATGTAGCTACGCTATTTAATTTGTAAAAAAAAAAAGCTACGCTATCTAAGGAAATATTGAAAAAGTTGAGTGAGAATAAGATAAATTAAGAAATAATGTAAAAAGGTGAATGTGTGTAAGAAAAAGGTGAATAAAGTAAGACATAATGCGGAGAAGTGTAGTTTTTGTGGGGTAAACTGATAAACAGGGTAGGCCTATAATAAAATAGTGCAAAGTCAGTAGAACAAAAAACAACAAACTTAAATTTATAGTGTGTAGAACAAAAAAAATGGAGGAGTATGATTTTAATATTTTAGGGCTTTAAGCTATTATTAGCTTTTTTCTTTTTCTTTTCTTTTTCTTTCTTTTTATTTTTTTTTATTTTTTTTTATTTATATATTTAAGTTTTTAATTTTATTATTTATTTATTTATTTATTTTGCGTTCATTTGTATTTTTTGTCATTAGGACATGTTGAACTATTAAATTAAAGTGGTCAATATTTGTGAACTAAATAGGGGTAAAAAAGAATCCTTTTTATGTGGACTACACTCCCTCTTCTCTTTCTTATATACTAGAAATTTGTAAATGATGAACAAAACATTTGTATCTCTTTCTGAATCTAAATTTGTAAAAAAGACAGCAGTGCAACACTTACTGGCTGTACTGTGTCCGGGATTAAAGTTGGTATGAAGGAACTTTGATTTTTAAAGAAAGACATTTTACTGCCCACCCAATCTGAGTCACTGCCCAAATATGTGCTACTTGTTGTCATCAATATTTAAGGTTTGCACTTGTCATCGACTCATACTGATGTTTTACACTACTTCCGCTCTACAAGAGTTCAAGCACTTCATATTGCATAGAATTTTAGGTGATAAGCTGTGGTAGAGTCACTAATTGTGTTCTTCTTAATAGAAAAGTAGATGTAGATGTGATGGGAGTTAGTGGGATAATTGTGATCATTGTAGTGATTTAGGTGTGAGAAGGAGATAGTGGGCCCAAGAGAAAGGTGATAAATAATCAATAATTGGTAAAACCTTATTAGAAAAAGAAAGTGTTCAAACTATGTTGGGATGGATGAAAGTTGAAATTTTAAATTTCAAAGGGAGTATGTTTTTAATCAGGGAGGAAGAATTTCTCATGCATGCGACATTAATCTCCAACTAAATCCCCATCTGTCAATTCCTACCAAATGTCAAATAGGGAGATGAAGAGTGTGATTTGTGGCTTTGTGCTTTAAAGTGAGAGACTAAGAGTGCATTCAAGTGTCCTCTTTCCTATGTATTATTATTGGATGTTGGGATAGCATTTGTGACAGATGAATTCACCATTGTATCATCATTATGAATCCCTACTTACCTAGGCTGCACTTGTTGGAGTTATTGTGTCTTGGATAAAAGTTGATGTGATCATATTGTTATGTGCTTGGTCTATGTTTTATAGTGTTACTTATGAAGTTGAATGGATAGAGAAAGGAAGCTGCCTCGTCATTTTTCAGAGCACTAACCAAGTTAAAAATCTGCTCAGACGTGTATTTACCCATCACAACACTAGGCTTCCACTTGTCAACAATATATGCTTTTTCATGAGGTCCTCTTTATTTTATTTAATTTGGGAGGAGTAATTTCTCTTGCACACGAAATTATACTCTTGTAAATAGAGTCTAATCCTCATCTTTGAAAATAGTATTTACTTCTAATCTTCATCTTTGTAAATGGTATATACTTCACTCTTGGAATGTGGATACTTTCCTAGAATATTGTCTTTCTCTTTCCCTGCAAGATTTTACTCTGTTCTCAGAATTGGCTTGTTAAAAAATAATTAGATGAAAAAAAGAAACAAGTCACTTGAATTTCTATTTCACCATGAAGAAGAGAATTAACAATGATGGAGTTGAATTTTACTTCGGGCTTATTAACATGCTTAAAGACTGCCCTTTTGGTAAGTGCTAATAAATGATGGCAATGGCAATGGATTTGTATATAAATTTGTAAGAGAAATCAATTTTTTCCGTGGTAATGATTTCCATACTATCTATTTTTCTTCACAAATTTCCATTACCATCCATTACCATTTAGGGGGTGGTGTTGGTTGGTAATGGGCATTTATGAAGAAAATCACTGATTTGGGGATGAGATTGCATTGTTATGGACATTATGATATTGATTTGCTTGCCAAATTACACTTAATTCCATTCCCATTGCCAGGAAGTATTCTCATTTCATCGTGACTCTGAGCTATTTCTGAATTTCTGTGCCTGAGTCCTGCCTTGGTTTGACTTAGACGATCAAGATAACTAATCAAGTCAGCAGTCAAAGTACAATTTCTGTGAAATTTGGATCATGCTAGCCTGAAAATGTTTGAAATTTGTTGTGTTGGATGCTGGGTCACTACACTAAGCAGCAATATCATTCAGATCAAATTGTTGTTCTTGAGTGTCATTGTGACTGCTTGTCTTTGTGTTGACGACACGGACTTCTAACTTCATAGATTATGCTTTGAAGCAGTTTTGATATTGTTTGCTTTCTTAAGAGACTTTATTTTCCTTTTGATATTCTTTCTAACTCTAGATTCATATGAAGGTTTCGTGTTTTTATTAGTTTCCATGATGCAATGCACTCAATCTAAATTTCTTAAAAATATGATAGCAATGTATTTTTGGCTTTTTATTTCTTCCAAATTTCTTGGCCTGAAATCCATGAGATTTTGAGCTGCTTATGATAAGTGCAAACAGGGGAGTGTTAAAACTTAAAAGCACATCAAAGTAGCAGATATGTTTCAGATTTTCAGGTGAGTGTTTGTTATCCTTCATCGCAGCATCAGCTTGCTTATCGACGTGGTTGTACTATTTGTTTCTTGGATTGGCATTTTTTTGCCTGTATGAGCAGTAGGTTTTTAGTGTTGAAGTAGTGACTCCTTTTGTTTGTTACTTTTTTTCCTTGCATTTTCTTATATTCCTTTTGTCTCTGTTAAAATGGCAATTGGGCATACAGCAAATGTAATATTCCCTCAATTTGTTATTTTGAACTGTTAGAGGTTTTGTCGCCACAAAATATATGTAAGTAGTAATGGTTGCAGCTTGCAGGAATTGAAAATTTGACATTCAACCTTAACTACTATTTCCTCTCTCCTTGTTTAAATTTACTTTCATTTTTACTGCATAATTAAAAGTTTGAATCTGTTTGGTGACTAGCTGGATATTCTCAACTGTTTTCCTTTTTCATTATAAATTACTCCGAGATTGATCATCTAAGTCTTTTATGTAACATCATTCCTTATATTATTAATCAATATTACCCCATTATCTGAGCTCCATTTGAATCTTTGTGTGAGTAAAGCCTGATTTTTTTTGAAGAGACTTGAGCTGGTGATGTAAAAAGGAAACACACTTTAGTTATATGATTGCTATGAGAATGGCAAACAGAAGTTTTGTACTTTTGAGGTTAATAATGGAATTTCTATAGGAATGCCATAAGATTGGTGTTGCTCTATGGTACAGAATTTTGGGCCTCTAAGGAGCACATTAAAAAGATGGGAGGTTACGGAAATGCACATGTTAAGATGGATGTGCAGGAACACTCTAAGAGATAGAATCATGAGGTTATTCACAAGAAAGTGGGTGTCGCAGGCATTGCAGACAAACTAAGGAAAAAGCGCCTGCGTTGGTTTGGGCATGTAAGATGGAGACCCGAGGTGCACCGGTACGAAGAGTGGAAGAGTGGGACCATGGAGAGGTTAAACTAGGGAGAAGGAGACCGAAAATGACTTGGTTGGAAGGAGTTGGAAGGATATGAAGCATATGGATTTGCATGATAATGAGGTATTTGATCGTAAGGAATGAGGAGGAAGATTTTGGTGGATGATATGGAATAATCACTTTTGGTTCATGTAGCCGACCCCACTTGTGGGATGAAGGCTTTGATTGATTGAGGCTAATAATGGGAGGTGGCGGTAATTATATTCTGTAAAATGCAGAAGACCTTTAAGGGGATATTGGTCTTGTTAGCTTCAGCCGACCTAGTGATGTATACCTCTATAATTTTTTAAATGCTATTAATTTCAATTACGTTGTGTGCCTTGTAACTATCAGTGTGAAATGCAGTGCTTGTGTAATTATCAGAATCTCTGGTTTCTACATCGTCTTTGCAGTAGTCTGAATATAGCAAATTTCTTTTAGTCTGCATATGACTTTGAAATCTCTAATTTTATGGGGTAAGACTAAAGTGTTTATCTCATGTAGTCATGTGTTTATTATGCCATTGTTTGATCTTCTTTTGGTAGCTGATAGGAGTATTATGAGCTCATATGCAGGTTCTCTGTTTAATTGGACTAGTCTCTGCTTAATGCTGTACTGCTAATAGTTCTTAAACTTTTGCTGCTGTGAGATAATAAATACTTCAAGTTTTACATAAAAGATATTACATCTGGTATGCATAAATATGTTATTCATTATGGTTTCTTGTGAGGAATATTACAGGTCATAAGAGTTTTGTGCATTTAGGTAATAATGACGATCTACCTTATGTGAGGAACTTGGCTTTTTAACATAGTATACTCACAATCTAACCTAGTAGTTTTTGTGTCAGAATGTCTGATTAAATGCTTCTGTTCAGACAAATTAATTTTTGATTTTTTTTAGTTTTGTGTATATTCATGAATCACGAGTCATGACTATTTAACCATAAAGAATTAGGTTCATGTTCGTCATAGTGTAACTTTTAACCTTTTTTTTTTTTTGGTCAACTGTATTGGTTTTATACACTGGTCAGTCAGACCATCTTTCCTAAGAATTTGTAAAAACTAATATTTTAAGTAGAAATGTATGTTGAGGAGAATTATTAATGCATCTTCTTTTAGGGTAATTTTTAATGGTTGATGTACCCACCTGTAAATATTAAGTATGTTCCTATAAATACAGATTAGTTTTTAATGGCTTAGGTTTTGTTTGTTGGACACCTGCAGTTAAAATCTTTGCTTGTTGAAGTGTTGTTTGCTCTAGGTAGGGTAAAATTTATATGCGTGTGAATAGTCTTACAGTGCTACCGTGTTTGTAGCAGCTGTTTCTAGTTTGTTCATCTTGCAAAACTTTCCTTGTGGTTAGTTTTCCTTGCCAATTGTCGTCTGGTTTATCTCTCAGTATCTCTTAGCCACAACTAAATGCTTGTTTTGGTAAACAACTTTGTGTAAGGTTCTTTTCCCCTCTTGATTATGCTCAAATTATGTGGCTCTATTACTTCTATATATGTCTGGTAATTTACGATGTTTGGTTCCTTCCCTTGGTTGCTATGTGAGCCAGAGGTGAAGAGCTGTAATTGCAGTATTTGGTTTCCTGTAGATTACGCTCCCCTGCTTATCATCTTTTGATGGTTTCATTGATTGTTGATAAGCTGTAAAATTTGGTACATGCCCAGTGTGTGCACTGTACTTTTTTCAGAATTCTGGTGCCTGCTGTGACTGTTAGTTGTCACTTTTGTTTTTTCGATTAGATTTGGCTGACCTGAATCAAATTACTGGTCCTTGTTTGATCTTGCTTTTGTGAGCTTTATGTGCCCAGGAGCTCTTGTGCTTCTGATCTCCATATCAGCATATTGTGTAAGTGAAGTTGTCTCTCATCCATGATCAAGGTTAAGGCCCATTTTTATTTTTATTTTATTTTATTTTATTTTTTTTTTTTTTTTTTTTTTTTGAAAAAAATATCATCTTAATGGCCTTGTGGAGTTTTGAACTTGCAAATTATAATATCTTTCTTAATCATTGTAGGTCCTGGCACATGCTTGATGCTTACTGTAGCATATCTTTTGTTTTAATCTAATAATGCTGCAGGCCACCATAGCCTTCTGGCTCTCATGACCAGTCCCAAGCTGGAGTTCTAGTGGTCATGTGACTCAAAACTTGTAGGGTATGCCAAGAAAACCTGTTTGTCAACATCAAGGTTAGCCTGTTGGGCAGTTTTGTTTCCCTTTAATTGGTGCCCACACCTAGGTTTTCAGTCACTGACAAAGAATCTTCTCTATATAATTGTAGAATACCACAAAAGCTGGATGTGTCTGGGCTCCACAAGTACATCAATCTGCTTATATGAAGTTGATATTGTGACCAAGATGTCAATCTCAACTCACTGATCCATGTCGTGAGTTTTATTTCCATGGGTACACTAGTATTTGCTGATATGTTTGTTTGATTTTTTTTTTTAGTAAAATTGAACAATGATAACAGTAATTCAGAGTGGTGAGTAAGATTTGTAAAGGAATTAACATATTTCATTTTGGCCGAGTCATATGGGATATTCATCTAGGAAATAGAATTGTCAAGCTTTAGTGGTACTGTGTACTGTCTATTATTGGTATCTCCACTAGCCCTTCCTTCTGTCTGCAAAAAAGACCCAAGGTCATTACCAAAAAATCCCAACATTGCTATGACACTCGAAATAGCTCTCTTTTGCTTTTTTTTTTGTTTTAAAACCAGTTCTGATCTAGGGGACGGGGGGTTTTCACATCTCTCTCTTTCTCTTTTCTTTTCATTTGACGCGTCACCCTTATGGATATTTTTTTGGGGGGGAAGTGGTGGGGAGAGAGAGGGGAGGGGGGGGGGGGTGACGGGGTTCTTTTGGATATCCTTTGGAGATACCTTTAAAACTCGTGTCATTAAGAGCTTACACTTCATTCTCTGTCCATTGGAGAGTCTAGGAGATCCTTCCAAACTTTTTTTTTTTTATAAATATATTGGATCTCATGATTTCCTTGGCTTCTTATATTCCCCTCGACTCTTAGGCTGTACAGTACTACAAGTAAAAATCTCTTGTGGTGTTGCTTTGGAGCTAGTTTAGTTAGTGCAGTGCAGTGCAGTGTAGTGTGGACGATCTTGGACTAGTTTGACTGGGCTTGTGAGGTTGGCCCCCTAAATGTGTTGTTTATCTTCACTGTAATCCCCAATCGAGCTGGAAAAGAATTTTCACTGTTTGTTTTGAATTCATTTTAGTTTTACGAAATTTGTCCTTAGCTTCAAAAAAGGCCCCTCACTGTGTTTTTTCGGGGGCAGGATATGGTCTAGTGGTCTACCACCATGAATGTTTGGACATGAGAGGCTTTGGCTCAATGCATCAGCTAATCAGCTGTGGAAGTACTACTGCATGTGAAAGGGGCCAAAATGTGGATTTGAAATGGAAATCATTGCCAAAAGTGAAGCATCGTCTGTGCGTTGATTGAAGCGTGCAATCAGTTAAGACTTGCATCAAGAATTTATTCCTGCAATTGACTACACTTTTTTTAGCACACTTGATCAATTATTTCGTATTTACATTTAATTTTCTGTTTCTTACTATAATTTGTTTATATGCTTTGCGGGTGTGGAAAGAGTGCCATTACACCTCATATTTTCTAGGGGATAAGTGTACAAGGTTTTGGTGTACGTGTGAAATTACTAGACCATAATAGAAAGGCATTAATAGATGAAGCTAAGGAGGGGTCACCATCATTGGGGAGAAAAGAACAGGTGATGAAATGAGAGCAACTCATAGAATATTGAGCTGTGCTGAAGAGGTTATTCGGTGTCCCTATTATCGGAAGGAATTTAAGAACTGTTGTCTAAACTCGGGCTGCATGTCAATATCGGATTATTAATGGAAATGCTTGCTTTGCTCTAAATTTGGGTGTTATTGTATGACAATGAAAGTGTAAGGTGGCAAAATTGAACCTAAAATTTCATACACCTGAGCTCAGTAATGAATTGGAGTCTCCCTTAGTTGAAGGCAGGACAAAACGGAGTAGTTGTTATGTTGTTGCATCAGGGTTCCACCTCTTTTTTATTTGTGGTTGAAGGCGTAAATGTGCTAGATTTTCTTCTATAATTTTGTTTATAAGTTATCAATAATTATCACCACTCGTTAAAATGGTGATGGAATGAGTGCCCAACAACGATGTGATATGTTCCCAAATTGTGTTTATAGTATTTTGGCTGGAATTAACAATAACATATGCTATTTTTACTTAACGGTTGGATTTTATTTATTTTTTATTTATTGTATAGAATGGTTTATGATTATTATATGTATGTTATTATGTTACTGTTTAAAATTACATTTGTTGACAATAATGGGGATAAAGTAAGCAAATGTGTAGAAATGTACGTAGTATAAAATACTTTTTACTTTTTTCATTAAGCAAAAATGTAGAAATGTAATATATAATACTTAAACATAATTTAAGACTCTGTTCCTGATTTTTACAGTACTTAAATCATTTTTACCGATTTACTATTAGTGCTTTTTATTGATAAGAATGAGCTACTTTTATGAATATAATTTGTTTTTATTAAATATTATGGAGTATTATTTTCAAGGTGAAGGGAACTGGGCCAAAGCATTTGGGTATATTAGAATTATTTAATTTTTCATTTTAGAGATAAGGTGATAAGTGAAGAAGTGATCCCAATCCTCAACCGATGGAGTATATCATTTGTGGCCAATGTGGGGGTGCTGACTATGGAGATTTTATTGAAAAAATGTGGGCTTGTGAGTTGTGACGTATCAGTGATCATTGTAGCTATTTTTGGTAAGTCCTGATATATTTATAAGACTGATATGGCAATTTAAATATTTATGATTGCTTGATGTTTAGGTTAAGTTTAGTTTGGAATCTGTTTGTGTGTGTTCAATGTCAAGTGTTAATCATCCTAATGCTTGAAACCGATTTATTATGCACTTTTACTCCCAAGTTTTATGTCATAATCAGTTTTAGTCATTATAATGACATTATTGCATAATGTTATTTATATATGAATTTTAAATCTCTATATATATACATCTATTGTTCAATGTCAAAAACCAACTAATAATTGCGCAAGGAATGTTTTTCTTATAACCCCTAATATTAAGAAACAAATTATATAAGTAAGTATATTATGCATACGAAGTATGTATTTTCAATTTTGTATGCATTAAGGTTATGTATGCGTCAAATCCACTCCCCTGGTTGTAGAATGAAGTTTCAAAGATGGGAAACACTTTATTCACCAGTGGAAGCTGAGAAAGTCCCAATTTATGTCCTTGATAAACAAAATTGGTTTATCAATTGGCAAAACGGTAATTCATCAACAAAATGCTTAATCAGCATGCTATTTTCATAAATTTTTCAACAATTATAGGGTTCATATTTAATGAAAAGTTTTTGATTTATTTACCATTTTTATTTCAACTTGTATTTTCTTGTGCAAGCCAAAGGAAGGCGTACATGCAACTAGCTAGAAGGTTTGTTAGGGCATTGGTGCATCCACGCAAGAGGATCATAGTGAGTATGCACATAAGATCCAATTTACCCCTCATTTTTGTGTCCAATGCGTCTTCTATTCGAAACTTGATGCTTTATTTAATCAATTGTTGTACGGCCAAGTGAAGATGGCTAATAGCATATTGTTTGTGAAGTAACAAAGGGTTTTCTTATGCTATAAAAGAGAACCACTGGGTGTTTGAGTAGATTAAGCCATTAGAAAAACTTCTTGTTATTCTCTTGTCTACATTGAAGAAAAACACTTTATAGCTTTCTCTTTTACATATTATCTCTTAACCAACATATGTGAATTGATTATCTCTTATTTATGTCCTTTAACTCTTTCACGTCTTGTTCATTAATGATTAATGTACAAATTAAAAGCAACACTGCTTGTCTACATTGAACAAAAATTCTTTATTGCTTTCTCTTTTACGAGTACATATGAATTTTATCTGTTTTGAATATGTGAATCAATTGTCTCTTATTTACCTTCTTTATTGCTTTCACGTCTTGTTCATTATTGATTAATGTACAAAGAATTTATTAAAACATAATTGTAACTAATATTATGGTATATATGTCGTACAAGGTTGGGTATATGGGTTTGTAGTACGAGAGGTTTTTGAAATAAAGGGACCACCCAAGAAAAGAGTATGGACCATGGTCTCAAGTATCTGAGTATGATGTGAAACAAAGGATGTGGATATGATTTGGACTATAGTATTAGTAATACCCCAAACCAAACTTAATCCAGATGTTCGTGTCCACAGTCTCACATGGGCTCATCTACTTTCTTTTTTTCAATTTTTGTTTCATCATACAAGCTTCATTTGGTTCCATCCCAATCATCTCAATACCTTGAATGAGACAATTGGTCAATGAAGAGGTCTTCATTTTTCACACTATAAATGTATCTTTGACCTATGGTTAGTTGCATTTCCTTTTTTAAAAATACAAAAATATACGAAAGTATAAATTTGATAAAGTTATGTAAAAACATATAACTAGAAAAACACCTTACTTATAAACGATTTAAATCTAAGTACTGGTCATGTATTCAAGTCTGAATATCGCGTAGTTTTTAAGTATAGAAAATTGTTATTATTGGAAATTTGAGATTCTTTTACTCTGAGGTTTGAGAAATTGAAAGATTTGTTGATTTCTAAATACCTAAGAATAATAAAATGACGATTTTGAAAATTTAGCTTTGTAAAATATTTCTATAAGGGAATGGAAACCTCTAAGGCAATGTTTGATATGAATATTGGAAATAAAGTGCAAAGGAAATAAATATGAGGGAGCTGAGGAAAGGAATCAATTAACTCTACATTTTCATTTGTTTGATTTAACCATGGAAAGGAATTACTTAACTTTTTTTATTTTTCGACTATTTCACCAAATGCCACTAAGCACTTTAATAATTCATCAAATGCCATCAAGGTTTTTGAAATTCACTAAATGCCACCGAGTTTTTACAAAGTTCACCGAGTGTCATTAATGACTAACAGCCGTTAACTTCGTTAGTCATTAGGATTAAATCATGTCACATGTCATGATATGATTGATTCATTTTAATCATTTATTTTAATTAATAAAAATTACATTTTTTTCTCGATTTTTGTGACGGAAATTATTCGGGTAAAATTTTGGGGGTTATTTTGACCCTTTATGGATTCAAATTAAGCTCGAAATTGGCAAAAAAAATAACGTAAATGCCTCATTTTATGTGTCGAAAATATCTCGATTAACGAGTCATTATTTTTTAACCATGAAAATTGATCGGGTAAAGTTTTGGAGGTTAATTTGATTCAAAGGATCAATGTAAGCTCGGAATTGGCAAAAAATTAACGTAAATGCCCCGTTTTGTATGTCAAGAAATATCTCGATTAGCGTGTTATTTTTTTTAACCATTAAAATTGACCGGGTAAGGTTTTGAGGGTCATTTTGATTCTTTAAGGACTAATTTAAGCTCATATTTGGCAAAAAATAAACGTAAATGCCCCCGTTTTGTAACTTTTACGGTTAAAAAAATTACGATCTTAACACGCAAAATAGGGCATTTACATTATTTTTTTGCCAATTCCGAGCTTATTTAAGATCCATAAAGGGACCGCCAAAACCTTACCTGGACAATTTACATAGTTAAAAAAACAGGCACACAAATTGAGATATTTCTCGACACACAAAACGGGGCATTTACGTTATTTTTTTGCCAATTCTGAACTTAATTTGAGCCCATAAAGGGCCAAAATTACCTCCAAAACCTTACACGATCAATTTTCAGGGTTAAAAAATAATGACTCACTAATCGATATATTTTTCGACACATAAAACGGGACATTTACGTTATTTTTTTTGCCAAATTTGGGCTTAATTTGATCCTATAAATTTTCTAAATAACCCCTAAAACTTTACCCGAATAATTTTCGTCACGAATATCAAGAAAAAAAATGTTTTTTATTAATTAAAATAAAAAAAACCAATCATATCATGACATGTGTCATGATTTAATCTTAATGACTAACGGAGTTAATGGCCGTTAGTCATTAATGACACTCGGTTAATTTTTTTAAAAACTCGGTGGCATTTGGTGAATTTTGGAAACTTTAATGACATTTGGTGAATTATTAAAGTTCTCAATGACATTTGGTGAAATAGCCGTTTATTTTTTATTGAGAAGGGTAAGCGTAATTGTTACCTAAGGTTTTAAAGAAGTAACAATAGGTGAAAACCATTACCCTTAGATAATGATAATTGTTACCTAAACCCTTATTGACAAGTAACAATCACCACATTAAACGGTTTAATGGTTATATGTTTGTTACCAAACATGCACTTATATCTATATGACCTCTTCAATATATATATGTGCATGCATGACTGCATGAGTGTATGCATGGATTAATAGAGTTGTGTTTTTATATGCTCACAAACGCCTCCACGATATCTTTCATCGAGAAGCTAAGGCTGCTTAAATGTCTTCCAACTTAAGTTTAATACCATGTATAAAATACGTCACTATCTTCTTAATATGTAATGATTTTGTCACTTTATTTTTCTTATTTATCTAATTCTGGTATATATTTGGTTGAACTATATATATTACGTCACTTAGTGTGCTAAGACGTCTTTCTTAAAATGGCTTTAAACTAAATATGTCACGATGTGTCCAAGTCTTCATTGCAATAGTTAATTACTAGTTAATGTGGTGATTGTTGGATGCTAAAGCATTTTGGTTATTGACAAGATGATTTTTGGTGTGATGCTAGAATTGTCTTTGTTGAGGGACATACATCTATAAGATACTAGTTAGGTTGCATCTATGCACGAAGTTTGCTATTTTCGAAAACTAGATATTCGTAAATATTTACTATAATAATTTTCTTACAAATATGATACTCCGTACTGAATTACCATAAAAAATTATAAGTTTGATCAAATTATATCAGAGCAATTAAGATCAGATAATCATATCCCGGTAAATTATATAAAGCCTAGTTTACAAGTAATTATTACCTAAGGGAATGTCCATGTAGTTTTAAAGAAAAGGATCTAGGTAGGACTTAGGATTGCATACAAAATGTTCAGTAGAAATATTAGGCTTTGCTCAAGAATTTAAAATCCATTTATAATTAATATTTAATGCCGTTTATGACTAATCTTTAGGTTTATATATATCATAATCGTTATTTAAAAAGTGATTTCTGACAGCAATAGGTT